AAAGCATGATAAAAATATAGTAAGGTAGAACCGCTGAGAGTCACTTTTAAAATTCTTGACGTTTCCAAACAATTTAATTTTTAAATTTACTCACAAACTCACACACACATTTTCATTTTCAATCTCAAGCAACAACAATTTCGAACAATTTCAATTTTTTATTTTCACTTTTATATGATTTTAAAATGTTGGCAAACTTCAAGAAAAAATCATGGCCGATAATTGAGAGAACGGTTCTACCTTGCTATGTTTTTATCATGGTTTAAAGTACAAAACCGCGTATCAACAAAATGCAAAACCGCCTATGTGAGGTTGCATAAATTATTTTTTAGAGAGTAAAAACACTCTTATTTCAGAATGATTCTATTTTTTATAAAGAAACGGCATTTCTGGCTAGTATATTTCAGGACGAATGGATAAGAATCTAGCCAAGAACTTGTGTGAGCAAATCCAATTTTTGGCAGCCAATGTCAGTTACGTGGTTTTGCCGAATGACGATATACGGTTTCGTACTTTAAACGACGATATGTATGTCAAAGAAACAAAGTCAATTTTGTTATTGACCTTTGTACCAAGGTCATGTTTATTAGGAAAAATGGAAAAAGCAACAAAGTCTAACCGGTAGAAGTTATAGCAGCTATTTCGGAGATCACCACATCTCTTCATCAGATTTTTTTTTTTAGACTTCAGCAGGTTAACGCTTCTGATTTTCCACATCGATGACGCTGGTTCGATCCCTACTGAAGTCTAAGAAGTCTGAAGAAGAGATGTGGTGATCTCCGAAATAGCTGCTACAACCTCTACCGCTTAGACTTTGTTGCTTTTTCCATTTTTTCTAATAAACAAAATGGTGGTACAAAGCTCAATAACAATATTGAAAATAAAATGTTAATAAGCCACAATAACATTGAGAAATAATTTTGTTTTGCATCATGCTACGTTTTTATAAAATAGTGACAGTGTAAAGGCCGTTATCTCAAATTTTACGCATTTGTGGCACTGGTTAGACTTGATTAAATGGTCCAAAATTTTTGGGGAATTACTTTTTCAACAAAGGTAACCATTCCAGGGAGTAGCACACGCAATTTTCTGATTTTTAACAATAAGGGCCACTCTAGTAAGTATATTAAAATGTAATATAGTATAGTATTTTATAGCATAGCATAGTATAGTGAAAAATAGTATAGTATATTAACAATGATAAACATACATATTTTTAGGAACGCCCTAAGCCACGGTTTGTCAAGGGGCGGAGACTGGAAGGAGGACCACAAATGATGCAACTATCATTGGATGGTAGAAGATTATACGTATCATCATCACTGTATTCTCCATGGGATAAAATGGTATTTTTATTGTGTTGTATTATATATTCTTTATTTCTCAATATATCTATATAACTATATGTGACCTGGTCTACGGAAAGGGGGCTTAGGTGTCAAAAAATCAATTTTCACTTTTTGGTTGATTCGGATGGAAGATGAGATGCTTTTTCACGTGGTGAAAAGCAGAAAATCCTAACTTGCTTAGAAGTGTACTAAAAATGTAGAGAAAGAAGAGTAAAAATACGACAAAATATAATTTATTGGTAATGAACAAAATACATTGAATTATAAGCTATAAAGACATGATTATACACTAGAAAAACGTATTATGGGCCAAAAATAATAATGCTGAGTAGTTTATGTATTTTTCTTTGTTGTCGTTTTCCTTGAGATCTTTTTACGTGTTGATCCTGAGGAAGATGGACCTGGTTCCTCGTCTGGTTTGAGAACATCTTCACTAGTTTTTGCCTTCCGTTTCTTCGATGGCAAATCTTTCGGCAATGGAGCCACAATATCTACTTTAGATATATCCGCGAAGATTGTGATAGATGTACCACTGCCGTTCCAAAGATAAACCGGCTGGTTGTATAACATTCGGCATTTCAGGATCGATAGGTTTTAACAGAAGCTTAAAGGACTGCACTTCTTCACTGTCTGCGAATTTCTTTGTTTTTACACAATCTGTAGAGATTATGAAATGATGGAATTGCGTTATTCCAACAAGTGACTTATACAGTGGTTTAAAATAGCTGTCCCATTCATACCAGACGACTTTTTCAGCCGATACAGCTTTATTATAGCCCCCAGGTGATGATGCCTCGACACATTGCAGTAAATCTGCATACGTGTCGATGTTACTAACGGCATACTTACTTTTGAAAATACCGAAGTAACGATCAGGCGCAAACTTAGTGTGCACGGTAAGTAGAAAATTGAATAAAATAGTTTTGTTAAGACCCCGAGCCAAACACCATTGCAGATATGATAGTACAGTGTTATTCTTATTCTGCCCAACACAATTGTCACAGAAAAGACCGAGTGTTTCAATGTCTTTATAGTAGGTTTGCAGGTGATAATGCAGGATGCTCACAACACAGTTAGGTCCTTTACCAACGTCATCTTTTTCGTCTATCATGTAATTGTACTGTAAAAAAAAAAAATATAAGTAAGATCCTGTAAAGGCGAGCAATTTGAGTTCCTATGATTCAGTTTGAAATTCTAACCTGAACTTTTTGTTTTTCGTCTGTAATTCCGAAGACTCCGCACTTCTTGGTTGCTTTGAAGTATGCTGTACCAGGTTGTTGTGGACTGACAGGGTAGTGAACGGTTTGGGCAAAATTAAATGACAGAACGACTGCTGTAGGGTCAGTATTTCTACACCAACTTTGATAATATTCTCGTTGATTTCGGGCTCGGTGGAGGTGATCAAGAAATTGATTAAGCTTCTGTGCGCGTTCAATGTCAGTAACACCTTTGGCTTGCGCAATCGATATTGTGTTTCCTATTAAAAGAAAAAATACTGAATTTAATCTCAACGTTTGATACAACTATAAAATGAGAAAATAATGAGCTACTTACCACGGCAGACATCGCAGAGATCATCCGCTGGTTTCATAACTGTAACATGGGGTATGTATTTGGACCATATCCGTCGAAAACTGCAATTACTCATCTTCAATTCGTCATCACTGAGTGAAGAAATGTATTTTCGATAAATTGAGGACTTCGTCTCTCTGGATGGCAGTTTCATTATCCGAAAATCCTTAAATTTTGGGAGTCGTCCGGGCAGTGAAAGAGCCATTAAATCGGCTATAGACTCGATGAATTTAACAGCTTTTTCGATGTCAGCCGGTTTAAATGACTTTGGATGTGTACTCGGTTTATTTGCCAGTCCGTGTTGGCGCACTGTTACACCCTGTGCGTGAAAATGACGTACTAAATTTTCGTAACGCTTCGTCGTACAGGCATGTACAAAAAGGAAATACGAACGACAAACAGCTACTCTGTAGAAGGTAAATTGAATTCTATGCCTCATAACTTCTGTATCCTGTCTCTGTCCATATTTCTTCCGCCCAGCAAGCTTTGCGTATACACTTTCTAGCTTTTCGTTACTCATAATTCCAGCTTCGATGTGACTTAGTATCACTAAATCAAGTTCATTTTTCGACATCTCTAAACAATTGTTCCGCGTAGTCTCGATCATTTCCCGTGGTATCAGTGTATGGCATTCATTATTACAACAATCTTTTGACAGAAATTTTGTTACCAGCTCCTCCTCCTTTACATCAACAACATATAGGTCTATCTTAACAAAAGTTTGTTCGGTATCATCTTCTGCCTGAGATACACATACTTTGTCTTCATCATCATCGCTCTCTTCATAGTTTTCATCATCGTTTTTATCATCCTTTTCATGGAAATATTGTCCGTATACGGCACTGAACTCCTCATCAACACTCATGTTTCATTTCATGCGAAATGCGAAGACGATAATCAACAGAAACAGTAAACGTCACTTCTTCAGTGTTACTTTTTTAAATGTTCCACACTAGCAACTTACACGATGAACTATAATAATATTCCGACCAACAACAACACTTACTGGACGTCCGGCGCGGAGAACAATTAACGAGATAATGAGAAACTGACGAAACGAGCTGCTTACTTTTAACAGCTTTTTCACAGAAAACTAGTTTTCGCACGTAAGCTCCCTTTTCGTAGACCAGGTCACATATATTTATAATAAGAACCGAAAATTTTGTACGCCCAAGAATGACAGACATTTCATTTTATTATATTATATATTGTTTACAAATGAATTCTATTTTTATAAATCATATGTTTTGAGTTATATGTTTTTGAGAAAAATACACCATAGTAATTTTAAAATTTCAACATTACATTTCTCGACTGTAAAATAAGATATTCGAGCTAACTCGACGGCACACAGTGTGCTTTTTTAACACTTCATGCCAATTAATCGTAGCGCTTTCGACAGAAGCAATATTTTGATATGAAACAAAATGGCATTAAAAGCTAATGACGAGAAACACGAATCCATTGTTTACAAAACGAAAAAAATTTTAACCCCTCAATTTGAAAAATGCATTACACACCTGTTCCCCTTTTTCGCGATTTTTTTACGCGGTATTTTTAGACATCTCCAGTTACATTTTGTACGCGGTTTTCCTTTTTTTGCGCGGACTTTTCTTGTGTTTTTTCATAATAATTTTACTTAGTACTAGCAAATGCCTGGCTTGCTTCGCTACGCCTGATAAGAACTTTTGCGTTTGAAATGCAAAAAGGGTTTGTAATGTAAACACTATTGGCTTCGGTTGAATAGTTAAATCCTGCTGTTCCACAGGAAGAAAGAGTGTTCCCGCTCAAACGGGGTAATTTATGTTCCTATCGTGTTCTTTTCAATTCGTCCCACTTCTTCTTGATATACCCATGGCCCGTTGGTGTGTCTAGGACATCTGTGGCGCCTTAAAAATTTTTCGCTTCTTTGTATTCATACTTAAAGGATGGGGCTTTATTAAGACATCTCAAAAGTAAATTTGTAGAGCGGTATCTAAATATCTTGATTCCCGCGCCATCTACTCTTTGGGTAAGTTTTTTGTTGAATCACTTCTTATCAAAAAATACCCGTTAACCTAGGTAGTACGATAAAGAAGGATTCTTTAATATCTCGAATCCAGCGCTGTCTTTCGGCAGAATTTTTTGCAAAAGTATATTTTATGATGCAGAGTATCCGGCGTCGTTCGGGGTAAACAAATAAAAATATAAAACAGTTAGGAAGATTTTCGGTTTACCATAAATTAAGGGAGATATAAACTATTTTTCTTATTTAATTTAAGGCCTCATTTTGAACTGTACTTGAATTTTTTGTGCGGTGTAGTAGCTTAAATACTATTCGGACATCCCACTCGTAAGCATTCGACATACATATAAGCACATGTCAAAGCGAATTCTCAGGGAATAGTGAAGACTTTTAAATTAAAATGGAAGGTCTGTGGAAATAAATAGTACTCCATACACAAATACATCTTCTCCTTTGCCGCATCCAGTAATAATTCTTGCTGCAATTATATTGGTCATCATTTTCTTTACTAAGAATCTTGTTTCATTATTAAGGATTAAGGTACCTAAAGGAGAATGAAATGCGCTTTAATTTTTTTATTTTTATTCTCTGAACGTAGACGGCATGCGTAGTGGGAGGTGCTACGACTTCTTACAAACTCTCATTCCTGTTTAGTTTACAACAGGTCATTCCGGTCAGCTGTCTTGTTGTAATGGGTCCAAGGTTATGGTTCTCTGAACGTACTCCATCTATTGGAGGTGCCACGCCCCTGTCAAACACTCACTTTCTTTTAGTTTACTATAAACGCTACACCCTCTTGTACAAACTCATTTGTATACATTAACCATAGATCTTCTCACCGAATTTCAAAGTCATGTGAGTTAGGGGTCCGAAGATGTGAGATCTCACGGCTATGGAATGTGCCGTGGCACCTTGTGCAAACTCGCTAATATTTACATCGCTATACGCGCCTTCTTTATTTATGTCTTCTCACTAAATTTCGAAGTCATGTGAATTATCGTAGGTTATAGCTGATTAAAATTTTACGCCTGTAAGATGTTCCACGCCCCGTTTTATAAACTTATTATATATATGGATGTTTTACTTTAAACATCTATCATAGATCTCTCTTCACACCAAATTTAAAAGTCGTGGACTTACGGTTCCGAAGTTATTGCAGATTAAAAGTTTCACGCCTATGGGAGGTGTCTCGCCCCCTTGTACAAACTCATTCATATATACTCTACTATAAGCGCCTACCATGGATACGTCTTCATACCAAATTTCAAATTCATGTGACGTGTGATTTCGAAGTTATGGTTGATTAAAAATGTCACACCCATAGAAAGTGCCACGCCTCTTTTACAAAAGTATATCTACTTTACTATAGGCATCTATCATAGATATGCATGTGAACTCATCAAATTTCAAAGTCATGTTACTTACGGTTTCGAAGTTATAGCTGATTAAAAATGTCACGCCTATGGGAGGTGCCTCGCCCCCTTATCAGATCCCATTTTTTTTATACCCTAGGTTGCGTCCGAGGTCACTCTCTATACACCATTTAAAGCCCTATGAAAATCCATTCAGTGGTTCCGGAGATGAGTGAGTTCAAACAGACAAACAATTTACAGTTTTATTATATTATTGATAGATAGATACCTACCGATTATCTTTTGACTTACGGATTCTTACAAACACACCACTCTTGTAAGACACAAAACTCCGCGAGAAACGTTTAACCTCGTATGTATCTATGTTCAAGACCGTTTGCAATATGTACGAACGACACTAATTACTATTTCAGTTGAAAAAAAATATCAATAACGAAAAACAAACACTGGCATATGTTGATGACGTTGAAAAACAAAATTGTATTCAAAAGAATTTGGTGTAAAGTAAATTTTGTTTGCAAAAATTGGTATATCTTTTTGGTTCACATTCCAGTTCCGGTTTTTATAAAATATAGCCTATGTTCCGCCCGAGGTCACTGTCTAGATACCAGTTAAAGCCCCATGAAAATCCATTCAGTGGTTCCGGAGATTAGTGAGTTCAAATAGAGAAATAATCTAGTTTTATTATAGTATAGATTTTACAAAATATAGCCTATGTTACGTCCGAGGTCACTGTCTAGATACCAGTTAAAGCCCCATGAAAATCCATTCAGTAGTTCCGGAGATTAGTGAGTTCAAACAGAAAAACAATCTACAGTTTTATTATAGTATAGATTTCTGTATGTACACACAGTATATTATTATTATTTTTTTTTTTCGTAGTAGAGGGAAATGCTTTATGCACTGGCCGGGGCGCTAGTCTCTATACTACCTTCCCCGAGTGTGGGACTCCCACCGGAGCGTGTTGGGCTACCCACTAAAACCCAAACTCCCACCGCCCGCGCAAGAATCCCGCATCTGGCACCGCAATTCTGCATGTCTTCAGGTGCAGGAGCGCGCTGTTAGAGCCTTGGGGATGCTCTTTTGTAGGGGCGTTTCATTCGGGTGTCCTCAGTAGACAACCGTCCTCTCGTTTGCAGCGGAGTACGAATTTCACGTATCTCGCAACTGCTTCCCACTTTTCTGCGCTGGAGATCATTACCCCAACTATGTTGTTCGGAGTTATGTCTCCGTGTCTTTCTTCCAACATTCTGCGCGAAATCAAGAAGTGTTCGCAGGTGAAGAATGCGTGGTACACGTAATCTTCGACGTTTCCACAGTAGTGACGGAACGGTGAGTCCACCCTTCCCATTCTATGAAGATATTCTCGGAAGTAACCATGACCGGTGAGGAATTGCGGCAGGTAGAAATCGACTTCCCCATGTGGTCTGTTCAGCCATGTTTGAAGGTCGGCTATCAGGGAGTGCGTCCATCGAGCTTTTGTGCTCGCGTTCCAGTTTTGTTGCCACCGCTGGATCAGTTGCTCGCGCGCCCTTGCCGCGGCAGCTGCTCGACTTATCTCGGCACTGAGATTGTAAACCTCTTTTCGCTCGTAAGCGAGTAGCTCAATTGGCATGACGCCAGAAATAACTACGACCGCGTCCGCGGACACTGTACGGTATGCAGAAGCAATGCGTAGTGCCCCTCTGCGCTGGACCGAAGACATTTGAATCCGG